GCTCCTATGATGCTGCTTGGCCTGCTGTGTTCGTCCAGCTCTACACCTTGTTATCTCAGATTCTCCAGCATCTGCAGTTCCTACTATCTCCTCCCGATTTAATTGGGCAATCCCTTGTTCTGAGATTATTCCCTCTGGTCCTCGTCTCTTCCAGAAGGGGAAGTAGACTTTCTGCATCTGTCCTGCTCAGCTTTCTAAGGATTTACGTGTCTCCTGTCATTTCAACTCAACTTGAATGAGTACAAGCTCAGTCTACTCAACCTCTCCTCACGAGACAGCCCTTGTATCTGAAAAAGGAACCTAGTGAGCCTGTGTATCCAATGCATGTATGTCCTACCTCCAATAAGAGGCCCAAAAACATTCCCAGTATTCTGGCTGTGTTCTGACTGGTGCCGTTCCTCATTACCCTTATTTAAGTTTAGCACAGTTGTTTCTCACCCAAGTTTCTCATTAGCACAGAGTGCTAAATTCTAGAAAGTCATGATCAATGTTCCCTAAGGGATCATTTATTCTGAGATCATGTATTAAACCTGCCTCATTACACATGACCAGACCTAAAAGAGCCTGCATGCTGGTTGGATCCACAACATATCATTCTGGGAAGCTATGAATTTATCCTCGTGCCACTTTCTGCCAATTTGATTTTCTCAATACATGTGAAGATTAATGTACTGCCTTTATTACAACCCCTCGTTACTTCCAGATTTTCCTGTGTCCTATAGAGCTGCTGCTGTTATGGGGCCCATAGGCTACTCTCACTAGTGTCTTCTTTCCCTTGTTATTTCTTATCTTTATTCACATATATTCTACATCTTCTGACCCAAGATTATTTCTTGACATTGTTCTTATTTCATATCATAATAACGATGCTACCCAATACCCTTCCCTTCCTGGCTCTCCTTTTGACAGGTCACATACCCCTGAATATTTATTTCTCAGCTTTATTATCCTTTAACCATGACTCCATATTGGTGATAAATCATACCAATTAACCTCCACTTGTGCTGCTAATTCATTTGTTTTGATCAGTCCACTACACACATTCAAGTGAAGAGCCATTAATTTCACCTTTTTACCTTTTGTCCCCCTTGTCCTTTTTTCCTGCTGTGTTTTTATACTCATCCTGGCCCCCCTGGGTATCATTATCAAAATAGTTGCCCTGGAATACCGCTATGTCCTTTTGTTTGCAAGTTTACATTTTTCATCAAACACTCTATGCCCTTCCCCACCCAATTCAGGTTAAAAGATCACAGATCTGAAACATTTAAACCTTTGTGCATTTTCCACTGATGCTGACCGGTATTTTCAGCATTTTCTGTTTATTTGTCTGGGAATTCTGGTTTCCTAATAACTATATCAATTATGTTAACATAACCATTTTGTTTTCCTTTTGTACGTTCTTAAAATCCAGTATGAAGGCCAGGTAAGGAGTGTTCCAACGCATGTTTTTTTTTGCAGTATATAATGTTAATATTAGCGATTAAGGTGCTTAATTCCACTGCAATTTGCTGATATTTACATCATGTGAAGCCAGCATTTTACATGCTTTGTGCCATGAGTACAAGCTTTGCTTCTGCTAGCCAGTCAAACTGCTTTCTGCTGTTGCACTCTGGCAAACAATGCACAGCAAATGTCCCAATATGCAGTATGCTTGTGCAAATAATGATGACATTGTATTTAAATGACTCATTGTTATTCGGGAAGAAGCTTTGTTCTGGCCTTTGAATATTGTTAAATTCTACTGATGCATTCTTGTAAAGTGTGATATGTCAGGTGCTGAGGATGCTTACTGACACCTGAGTTAAGACCCACTTTTAATTTGTAATCTGTTAAACAGATTTTGAGAAAAGATTGGTAGCCATTGAATATATGGTGTATAGTTATATTGTGAGATATGATTCTTCTCTGCATTAGGTATCACTAAAAAGGAGTGAACATATGACTGACGCCTTAGAAATTGCTTCAGAGCTTAAAATGGATTGTATGTTCATTGGTACATTCATTGATGTAAACATTCATCTTTTTCAAATTACATATAATCTCCCGTTATGGGTTTCTTTTTTGAAAAGTGGTTAATTATCTATGATCTGTACAGAATGTAATTCCACTGGACACCATTTTACACCTCAAAGTAGATGCATTGGAAGTCTTTAGCCTACAGGCGAAGATATTTGTACCTCTATGCACCCTAAGAGATTAGATTGAGAGAATACAGCCCAGATTATAAAGCCTTGCTTGTGCAGCTGGAAGAGCAACAACTACTTGCATTTGTATAGCACTTTTAACAGGGTAAAATGCCCCAATTAAAGTGCCTCACAGGAAGATTGTCAAGAAAATTACAAGCCAAGACAAATGAGCACTTAAAATTTTACAGTTACAATATGAGACCTAGAATTTGTGGAGGCTCTCTGCAAAAGAAATGTGGCTGACCCCACTCCACACCCTTTTCCTATGACATTGGAAAATATTCAGATGATGAACCAATTTGTTTTTGTAAACCACACTTGACATTTTTTTATTGGAGGGTCATGCGTGACAATTGTGATCAAATATTTTGAGGAGGTAACCAGGAGTGTTGATCAGAATAATGCACAGGATTTTTTTTTTCATAGAATCCCTACAGTGTGGAAACAGGCCCTTCGGCCCAACAAGTCCATACCGACCCTCAGAGCATCCCACCCAGACCCATCCCCCTAAACTACACATCCCTGAACACTATGGGCACTTTAGCATGGCCAATCCACCTAGCCTGAACATCTCTGGACTGTGGGAGGAAACCGGAGCACCCGGAGGAAACCCATGCAGACACGGGGAGAATGTGCAAACTCCACACAGACAGTCACCCAAGGGTGGGTTCGAACCGAGGTCCCTCGTGCTGTGAGGCATCAGTGCTAACCAGGTGATTTCTAGCAAGGCTTTTGATAAAACTAATGAGTACAAGGAGGTTGGCTAAGAATTCACATGGGATCCGAGACAAATTGGCACATTGGATCCTTAATTGACTGAGAGGCAGGAAACAAAGGTGATGACAGAGGGATGTTTCTATGAGTGGAAGTCAGTTTCCAGTGGTGACTGCTAGGCTCTGTGCTGGGCCATTTCTCTTTGTAGTCTATGTCAATGATTTGCACTTAAATATAGGGGATGACTTTGCAGGGGGGAAAGGTAGAGGTCAGTGCCCCCACCTATACCACAGAGGGTTGAAGTTATTGATGTTATATTTAAAAGGTGCCCAGATAGGTATTCACTCACTACAAGTCAGGGCTCTTAGAATAGGAACCTGTTGTAGTCAGCCTGCCACCAGTCCCTGGTCAGTCTGCGTCTGTTCCTCGATCAGACGTCTGCTATTTCCTGATTAGCCTGTCTCTCTTTGCCAGACACACACTCCCCTCTTGGCCAGTATCATTCACCCACACCCATTTAATTCTGACCTCCCCCGATCTTCCTCTGTGCCCTGTGCAACCTCATGTACTGCCACCCAATCTTGATCATGATACGGCATAACTAAAAACTCCCCAAAGCAGACAAGGAGCAGTTGCTCAGTGCAAGTTCAGCACATACAGGAGCTTGCCTGCTGCACACTTCTTTCTCCAGCCAGGAATTAGAAGGTAGACATTGTTCCCTTGTGGAGAACTTGATTACCTTGATAAGGAGAATGTAATTTGGTTTAGCTGGCCTTTGAATGTGCATGCATGATAGGCAAGTACATGTAAAAGGGGCTTCTGCAACTTGCCATGAGGATACGCAGCCTAGCTTTAAAGTTCCAGTAACTTAATTGCAAATCTTCGTCTTGCCGTCAGAATTGTGATTTTTGGCATCTCGTGCAAGTAAATTCCATGCTGCCTTGCTACCATCTCCGGGCGCAGCACAAGATTCCATCTACCATGTGTGAATGGGGTGACACGGTGGCTCAGTGGTTAGCATTGCTACCTCACAGCGCCAAGGACCCAGGTTCGATCCCAGCCCCGGGTGACTGTCTGTGTGGAGTTTGCATAGTCTCCCCGTGTCAGTGTTGGTTTCCTCTGGTTGCTCTAGTTTCCTCCCATTGTCCAAAGATGTGCAGGTTAGGTAGATTGGCAATGCTAAAGTGCCCATAGCGTGCAGGGATGTGCGGATGGCTGGATTAGGCATGGAAAAGGCAGGGTTACAAAGAGGAGGTTGGTCTGGATGGAATGCTGTTTGGAGGGTTGGTGTGGACTTGGACCAAATGACCTGCGTTCTGCACTGTATGGATTCTATGACACTATGTCTAGACACCACATGATTTTGAACAACTTGATTGTATGACCTTTCAGGCATCTGGAAAAACAACTCCCCTCTCTCCTATCTATCCATGTAATTGACATGCTGATCCCCTGGAACTCTTCCTAAAGCCTTCACATCCCTCCTAAAGTGTGGTTCCAAATCTAAAACATAATGCTTGCACTGAGATTGAGCCAGTGTTTTATAAAACTTCACTCTAACTTCCTTACCGTATATACTCAATGCCTTTATTTTTAATGCCAGGATCTTGTATGCCTTGTTAATCACTTCATCAACATGCCCCGCCAATTGTAATGATTTATACATGTAAGCCTCCAGGTCCCACTTCTGCTGCTGCATCCCTTTTAGAATTGTACATTTCATTTTATGTGGCCTCGCCTCGATCTTGCCCCCAGAAGGTACCACTATCTTTCATACTTGGGCAGATAATCATCAGGTTGGTTAAAGAGGCCAGCTTTAAGGAGAACCTTAAAGAAGGACAGAGAGGCAGAGAAGTACAAGGACAGCTTTAAAGTTTCGAGCCTGAGAGGGTGAAGACACGATCATCAGTTGTGGAGCACTTCTACGCCATCACACTTGCTATTGAAACAACTCAACCATCACTTCCGGCCTTCAACAATTTACTTTGGGCTAGATGGAAGCCAACTACATGGACGCTTCTGCCAGGCCACCTTTCCAATAGGGCCAGTATACATCTTCATAGGATGTTTTAACACTGATATGGACACACATTTTATGCCTCTTAGCTTGCTTTCTTAGCACTCATTTACTTTAATGAGTCACGTTGCTTTTTTAGCACACAAGGACTTAAGCTCTCAGTTAAAGACCACCAGCCTCAGTGGCTTCCATTGCTTTTAATCAGAGAGAGGGGCAACTTGGGACAGTGGGGAGCACTGAAGAAGAAATGCTTTATTCAGAAAAGTGTGGACGTGTTGCTGTCTGGCACTAGGCTACCTCCACGTCAGAGCTGCAGCATGTGCCTGCCCCTTATGCGGCAAACACTGCATGTGCTTTAAGCAAATAGTGCTGTGTGAAAGTCAAAGAGGAAGAGCCCTTAGTGGAGTGAAAGGGGACCATTCGAGGACACCCCCTGCAGTCTATCGAAGACCCCACCCAATTACACAAGGGGCTCTTGACCACAGCTAGTCCTACATTTCAAGTGCAAGCAATCTGGAGGTCATTCGGGGTGCTTCTAAGACATCAGTCCAAGGACCAGGCCAGTTTTTTTCCTGAAATGAGACAGAGGGAGTGGTGATGGAAGTGCATGCAAGAGACATTCACGGCCATGCATTAGCAGGAGAGGCGGTGAGGTGTCTCCAGTACGGGAGTAAGAAGTACAGGGGGCAAGAGGATTAGAAGTTCGGTAGGATGAGGTGGGTGAGAGCCCTTGAGTGGACATGATACATGCAACAATGAGAGTTACAGAGCATTAACCTTGAAGATGCATGAGCAATGGTAGCGTTAGATTGAATGCTGGCCCTTCCTTGAGTGTGAGGCAACAGAGAGACCATCTTGGCATTTCACCTTGAGTAGCTCAGGAGAGCATTGACATTTCTTGCAACACTGTCCCCTTTCACCATGGCTTGCCGCTGCAGTTTGAGTCCGGGTTGTCAGAGTCTATTGCCGTGGTTTCCTTTGACAGTCAGCAGCAAAAAGGACTGCCCTGCTGTCCACGAACTGTCTATGAGCACCTGCCTTAGAAGCGGGGATCAAGCTTACTTTTCCTCTGAGACATTTTCCGGGTGGTTTGAGCAGTATTTCCTGGCTTACAATGCCTTAATTGGTGACCAACTGGACCTTAAATATGGTATCAGAGGTATGGAAGCTGGAAGATCTCACCAGGGACAAACATTTCTGCCTCATTCGCCATGCATTCCCTGACAAATCCACCCAACAGTCTGGTTGCATAACTAATAGGGTGAAGAGTAATACGTTTTTAATCACCAACAGTGCGTTTTTATCTGATGTGGCAATGTGTATGTTATCTCCCACAATATAAGAAACTGGGAGCATTAAAGGAATGAAGAATTCAACAGAAGTTTATTGCAGCAAGTTATTACACACAAACATTAGATTATAACACAGCAGCATTGAACAGCACGCTTCCAGTAATGTCATGCTTCGAGTGATCCCAGGGTGAAATGGAATATGATGCCTTTTTTGCCTCAGGTCATATTGCTACGATAGAATAAGGATACTATGAACAAGTCTGTTAACGGTATGCAGACATAACTGACTGCAAGACATAGCACAACAAAAAGTGGATGATTGTTTGAGAAAATTTGCCACAGGTCATGGCAGACCAGATGCCATGAAACTGACACACCACCACACATTAACTATAAATAGAAAGATTCATATTGTATAAATTCAGCAAAGAACCTCTGACAGCATTTACTGGACAGTTCATTGAATGCTTGAGCTTTCCACACTATAACAGTAAACACATGAACGCAACCTCCTATTAAAATGCAGGATTTCTGCAATACATTCAACTTTTCATCAAGACTCACAAGTAACAATGCACTTTTTCCCCATGAATTATAAGCCTACACCAATGGAACTCTGACGTATTAGCAGGGCAGTTAATCCTAGTTTCATTTATCCCATCTCCAATGAGAACTATGGGCCCCTTCTAAATGTTTTCACAGTAGGTTAAAGAAACGAGGAGAAGTAATTTTTAACAGTTTTATTTCCATAATTAATATCACTTTTACCACCAGTGTATTGATTCTATTATTTGAACATTCGTAAAAATAAAGTGTCAATAATTTTAGTAAACTAGCTAACATTGACACAAATGTCTTTATCTGTTGCAGGCCTGAAGTCAGTTTAAAGAAATATAGTGGCTGCCTCAGAGATATAGAAATTTCACGGACACCATATAATCTGTTGAGTGGCGCAGATTACCTAGGATTAACAAAAGGCTGTAGTTTAGAGGTTTGTTATCTGAGACATTGCAATATTGTGTATTTTATATCAATTTTCTTTGTTTTCAACGTATTGGATTCTAACACAGTACAGTACATTCTCTTGTTTCTGAAGTTGTCTCAATATTTTACATCATGTTCACTAATATACTGTTTTTCACAGAATGTCCACACTGTTAGCTTCCATAAACCAGGATTTGTTGAGCTTCAGCCACATTCGTTGAATGTAGGCACAGAAATATCTTTTTCCTTCAGTACTAAAAATGAGACTGGAATGATACTGTATGGAAGTGGAAAGGCTCCAGCTCAACTCAGGAGGAAACGCCGCCAAACTGGACAGGTTTGTGTTATTATTTTTAAACATATTTTAACATATTTTAAGTACTTATTTTTGTGCATATCGTAATTACATATTGAGCCAATGGAAATTATAGACACGTGAAATACTAAATATTTTAAATTATGTGATTCTCATTAAAATGCACAGTTTTAAAATATTTTCTTTTTCTTAGCTGCTGTTTGGTATTGGCTATTTAAAATTTTCAAATACATCCATCATCCAGTAGAGTCCCTTTAACCAAGAAACTTAGTAAATAAATGGTAGTAGATAAATAGATTCCTGTATCATTTATTTTGAAATACTCTATTGTAATCAAGCAATTATTGGCAATAATATTCACGCAGCCTGTGTGTAACTTTGTGCTTTATACAAACAGGTCTACTATGCAGTTTTCCTAAACAGAGGGCGCTTGGAAGTACACGTTGCTACTGGAACCCGAGAACCCCGGCGTGTGACAATTAGACCAGAGTCTGGAGTGTTCAATGATGGAAAGGAACATAGTGTTAGACTGCATAGATCAAGAGGGTATGACCATTCCTGAACAATCTGACATTACCTTGGGTTGAATTTTCTTATTCTAGTGGATGCTTTGATGTCTTCACTTTACAAGTTTCGCAAGATTTATACTTTCCTCTGACAAACCTGCCATCAAAATTTACTAAAATAGAACTAGTGTCCCACGAAGCAAGTTACTCAGTGTAATCCGTGTTTCTGTGTATGAAATGAAAGCGTGATACTTGGCTACTTAGATCCTGCTCACATCCATGATGTTTGTTTTACAGCATGATAATTGAATCCTTACTGGGAACCAAAACTCTACTTGATTTTACCCTCCCCACTGCTAATCTTTCACCGTTTGATGCTGGACAATCTGAGGTCACTACCTAGCCGATAACTATGTATCTGCAAAGCTGTCTCAGCCAACTGCAATGTACCCCCTGTTCTGTTCAGCTGACTACAGCGTATGGCAATACAGTCCTAGCAGACTACTATGCATGCGTAATGCTGCCTTAGTTGACTGCTGTGTATCCCCATTGCTACCCTGATTGTTATTTGCCTGCAGTTGATCTTGCTGCAGCAACCAACACTAACATTGGCATCTTAATAGGATTGATGATTTACTCTGGCTGCTGACAAATCCAGTTCCCCATCCCAACCCCCACTGCTTCTGCTCACCTATTTGCCTCAAGTTAACATAATCCTCCCTATACAATTTTATTGTTGGGAAAAAAAATGTTTTAGCGTGGACATAAGTTAATTATTTCCGCTGTCTTTTATTTAAAAGCTCTGAATATGCAAATAACATGAGATTCTTTTTGCTATTAGGTATCTCACTGTGCAAGTGAATGAAGAAAGAGCTCAAAGGAAAAGTCTACCTAATGATCTGCCTCTCGACATCAAACGGCTGTTTGTTGGAGGTGTCCCTGCCTCATTCCAAGTCAGTCAATTAAGAAGTATCACACATTTTGAAGGCTGTATATGGAACTTAGTTGTTAATTCAATGTAAGTAAGATATCATTATTCTTAAGAAGAGGACATATTTTAAAAAGTGAAACCATTGATGGGTTTATTTCTTAATTCCAGAGAGTGCATGTTAGAAAAGAACGTAGTTGAAGACCAATTTAAGAAATCAGGGAAATTATCTATACATTTCTGTTCATTAAAAATGGAGAGAAAGCCTCAAGCACTGGGCCCTTTATTTCCTAGCTTGCAATCTTTTAAAATGCTTGTTTGGTAAATTAGTCTTACAACAATATTCTTAAATTAATTGATGGTGCATTTTACTGTGAAATTATTTTAAAATGCCTTGTGCATACTAATATAATTAACATCTTTATAAAATGTTTGCTTTCATGTTAAATTATTTTGCCTGTTCAATATACTTCCATCAATCTAATCATATTTGTAAGAAGAGATAACAAGGTGTAGAGCTGGATGAACACAGCAGGCCAAGCAGCATCAGAGGAGCAGGAAGGCTGACGTTTCGGGCCTAGACCCTTCTTCAGAAAATGTCATATTTGTAGTCTGCTGTCACCACGCACAATGTTATGCTGAATGGCATGCTTATAATAGGCTAATTAAGTTTTTCAGTGACAACAGTAGGATTGCTACACTAATGCTATTCTGTAGGAAAAGGTTAATTTTGAAGCACTTCAGAACTGAATTTCCATAGTTGTTTTTCTAATCACACACCATGAATTTGGCAGAGGAGCTACAGAAATCCCACAAAAACATGCAGACTGTGAATATATTCTTATCTAATGGCCAAGTGTCAATTTTGCCGAGTTTCATGGAGGGTTTAACTCTGGTGACTGTTCTCATGCAATTCTTCACAAGGCACTCACCTCATTAAGTATGTAATCCTGCGCTCAGCAGCAGAAGCGCTCGCTGGTGCTGTGGGTACCATATTTAAACCTCAGCTCCATACCATTTCAAACATTGCAAGCCAGGAATTGTCCTTCACAGGAGGTCCTAGTGATTGGAGTGTTTGAGAGGAGTTTTCCTTCCGTAGAACCACCAGGGGAGACCATGGCACCAGCCCCCATCAGCGTGGTCTGGAGTGTCCCAACCAGGCCAGTGCCATTTCAACAGTACAGATGAACACATAGCAATGCCACAGGAAGGTCAGTGACCTCCTGCCCTCTGCAAGTGTTGTCATCTCTCTGTTGCCTCATGCTGGCTCTGACTCCACTACTGTAATCACTTCCCAACAAGGCTCATGGTCTACCGTTCTCAGTATTACATGCAACATATTCCCTTGAACGTTCTCAGTCCCCATCAAACTGTTCACCTCCCCTGCCCTCTGCACTTACTATTCACTCATTTGCTGTACAATTTCTGCTCCTGCACCAGCCACTTTGATCTCACACAATCCATCTCTCGGGGTCACTGCAGGAGAAAAATTAGTTCAGTAGGGCTGAGAGACTAAGGCACATGGTGAGGAGACTTCCATGTCCTGACACCTAAAATTCACTACTATCCCACGACCACCATTGTGAACATATTCTCAATACGCTCAAGTCTGTACCCCTACTGTGCAACTCATTCTCTCTGACCCTCTGCAAATGCCAGCAGCATCCACACATCTTCTGGCCACATAAGACCACCTCCTGCTCCGCCTCTGAAAAAGTAGTCTCAGGATCCCCAGATGAAGCACTAGCAAGGCTGCCACCGGCATCGTCCATGAGCTCAGATACTTTCACCTCGTTGGGCGGCACAGTGGCTGTTAGCACTGGTGCCTCACAGTGCTGGGGACCCAGGTTCAATTCCAGCCTCGGGTTACTGTATGAACTTTGCACATTTTTGCTATGTCTGTGTGGGTTTCTGCTAGGTCCTCCTGTTTCTTCCCACAGTCTAAAGATGTGCAGGTTAGGTGGATTGGCCGTGCTAAATTTTCTGTAGTGCCCACGGACGTATAGGCTTTGTGGATTAGCCCTGCTTAATGCGGGGTTACGGGATAGAGTCGGGGGTGGGTCTGGATGGGATGCTCTTCAAAGGTGCAGATCTGATGGGCTAAATGACCTCTTTCTGCACTGTAGGGATTTGTGTATCTATGATGATTCTGAATCTTAGCTAGATTAGACTCAGGAACACGTTCTGTGGAGCCGGTCAGCAGCATTTAGAGGACTGCTGGAGATCAGGTACCTGCTCAGTTCCAGGCAGGACAGGATCCCACGATGTCAGCCATTAATAACTTCATACATATGAACAGACAGACGGAGGAACAGCAGGCAGGTTTGTGAAAGGCACTCATTAAACTGGGTTGAAGGTTGGAGGAAGCGACCAATTCTTTCTGCACCATGTTGGCTCTGGCATGGATGCTTCTGGCTGTTTCGGTCGATAGGTTGGGGATTGCTATGGAGAACAAGGTCCATATTTTAATAGCAGAAAAAAATACACGTAGACTTGCACTCCTTGTCTGTAGACATTAGTGTTCAGTGTGAGCAGCAAGGTGAGAGGGGGAAGAGGGACCAGGTCAGGTGCTCCTTATTCTCAAGGTGACAGAGTGGTGGTGCCAACAGGCACCCAGGCAGAGGCGGAAACTACACTCAGGTCACCAGAGCCTCCTCTCAGGACAATCCAGAGTTGACCTTCCCCCTCACTTCCACCCTGACTATGACCCACAAGCCTGTGGAAGTTTAAGCTGAGGAGTGTGAGTCTGCACCTCGGCAGGATACTCTGAGAACAATGAGGCTCTCTAGCAACAAGAGACCTGTGGGTATGAGATAACAAGGTGTACAGCTGGATGAACATAACAGGCCAAGCAGCATCAGAGGAGCAGGAAAACTGACGTTTTGGGTCTGGACCCTTCTTCAGAAATGTGGGTCTGAGGGTATTCTGCCCAAATAATCAAGGCCAACAGGCTCCACCCAGCTGTAGACCAGAGACTGAGTCTATCCAAAGTGGGAGGGCAAGGAAAATGAAATCTTTCTGAAGGACCATAGGTGACGCTTCACTGTAATTAAAATAAAATATAAATATATTTAAGCTATCGTCTGTCTGATGTGCTGTCATTTTAGCTGCAGCTACAAGAATGAAGCTCCAGAGGCTACACTTCCTTAGCACCATACAATTAATTACAATGCTGCTCTTTTCCAAACCCTGACATATTGCCATTGTTCAGTGTTGGATCATCAGATGTTGTGAGGCCTTCAAATAGTTATTAACATTAAATTTTATTAAACAACTGTAAAAGTGAAGAAGGAACAAACAAAAAAGGTACCTTTACATTTGGGACTGAACAGGTGCTGCTTGTCTTTGGAGCAACAACAAATTTTCAGTCAATGAACGATAAGTTCACTAACCTCCGATCTATTGGAAGCGGGTATCAGTTAAGTTCTTTTGGGCTTATTGTGCCCAATGCTGCATCACTCTGTAGTGCTGAAGGTGATGTTCTTCCCACTCAAAGTCCTCATCTTCCACTTCAGAAGTCTACTGCCATTCTCCCTGTTCTGTAGCATGTTTTTCACATCTTGTCTTTGTTTGCTCCAGTTGTACACAGCACTGCATGCGAGGATTATGCAGCTACTCTGTCTAGAGTGTACTATGAGACCCAACAGACTCATCCAAACATTAAAACCTCATCTTAAGGATTGCTACCACGATGGGACTGCTGGAAGAATGGACTGCATTGTACCCGTGTTTGGCCTCAGTCAGGGAGTTGTATGATGGAGTCATCAGGCATAGTTGGAGAGGGTAGCCCTCATCTCCCTGCACCATTCTTGTAAGGAATATGGCCCTTGAATTGAAGCAGAGACCCGAGAACTATCAAGGATATAGGTATCATGAAAGTTTCCATGGTACTGGGCAGAGACTTCTAAGATGTGGTAGTGATAATCATAGATGACCTCGACATTGACCAAATGGACAGCTTTCCTTTTACAGTATAGTGCTGTTAATGTGACGTGTGCACAGTCTAAAGCACCCTACACCTGGGGGAAAGCGAGCTATATGGACAAAGCCCAGTACTTAGGGTTGTACCACTGACTTCGCCACAGGGAACTGAGACATAATGGTGTGATTCGGCACAAATTGCGTCAGTGTCAGGAAAGCAGAACTGGGGATTCTGATTATAGTCATATATTAGGTTATGTCACAATTAGATCACATTAGATTATATCACAAAACTCTGTCAAACATCAACTATTAAACATAATGAAAAATTTGTGATATGTTTGTGTGATTTGATAACCTTTTTACTTACTTGAAAGTACCCAGCAGATCTAGCAGTGTATTTGGACAGAAGCGGGTAGAATCTTTTGATTTGATTTATTACTGTCATGTGTTTCGAGGTACAGTGAAAAGTGTTGTCTTATGTGCGTATAACTGGGGTTGGAGCAGTCTTTGATTATGTTGATTGCTTTCTCTGATGGTCATCTTGGTGGTAGGATAGCTATTTATGTCAGCAAGATGTTGGCATTCCTGAACCCTACCATCTTGCCACCTTCTTCTGAATTCAGTTCTTGGCTGGAAGACCCATGGTCAACCTTCCTGTCCCACTGCTATTGGAAGATCTTAAATGGCCATTTTAACAGCCTTATCCTACCGCTGCCTGAATTAAACAAGCTGTCTCCTGAAACCACCCCCTCACATTATTTACCTGTGGCTCAGGTTGCTCTGTGATCCGGGAGCTCCTTCCAGCGGGATCCATGTCCTCCCTCGTGATGCTGCTGAGCACAGAATCTGCTGGCCACTGATCATTCAGTGGCTGTCAGTAGGAGAGTAGAGATTTTTGTCTCCAGTGGCACTGGTGTCACTGCACCAAAACACCACTGAAACCTTCTGTCATCACACCCTCTCCACCCCCAACAGCAACCCCAGGCTATTCTGTTGGCTGCAGTTCCCCAGTCAACTGCTGAGCGCTGTTGGCGTCTGTGACTTCCCATAACCCATTGCTGGCCGTGTCCCTCACTGACTGACTCAAACACAGAGCACAGAATCCCTATAGTGTGGAAACAGGCCATTCGGCCTAACATGTTCACACCACCCTTCCAAAAAAGATCCTATCCAGACCCATTCCCCACAACCCTGCATTTCCCATGGCTAACCACCTAGCCTGTACATCCCTGGACACTATGGGGCAATTTAGCACAGCGAGTCCATCTAACCTGCACATCTTTGGACTGTGGGAGGAAACTGGAGGAAAGCCACGCAGACACGGGGAGAATGTGTGAACTCCACACAGACCGTCGCCTGCGGGTGGAATTGAAGCTGGGTCCCTGGCGTTGTGAGGCAGCAGTGCTAACCACTGAGCCACCGTGCCGCCACATTGTGCTCTGCCACAGTCAGTGAGAGTCTCCACACAGAGTGAGGCAGCAGAAGCCAGTTAGGTTCAGAAAGTGATTACTGGATAAAGCATGTTCAAATTACAAAGAGCACGGCATGATAACTTGTTTTTGTTTGACATGGAGAATGTCAGAAGAAAGATTTTTGAAAATGTTTGAATGGGATTGTCACTGGCGAGGCCAGCATTGTGTGCTGATCTCTACTTGCCCCTGAAAAGTGATGGATGGTGTGTCAGTCAGCTCCTTAAGGTGCCGCAGTCTCTCAGTCTCAGTGAGTGCTTTATGACCACTGGAACCTGTCTGTCCTACAGGATAAACGTTGGTTTCCCTCTTAAATTGGTGTTCTTGCAAACTGCCCTAATGAATGCAAGATGTGAGCGGTGAGGGTCGTGGCACTGGTGAGACAGAAAGCAATAGCTCAATAGTTGAGCCCAGACTGCCACTGCCTGTCCCTCTGCCCTTCATCTGACACATACTCACACACAGTTCCCAGCCCCGAAATCCACGTAGAGATTGCTCACTGTCTTCTGGATGATGGGTGGCGTAGAAAGGGTGTTGATAGTGCTACTGCTGGTGATACTGCACTGTCAAGCGTGCGCTTTCAAATAAACCTGTTGGACTCTAACCCGGTGTTATGTGATTTCTGACCTTGTCCATCCCAACCAACACTGGCACCTCCACATCATGCCTTCCTCCCCCAGCACTCCACCCCTGCCACTGCATAAATGCTGCCTCCACACTTCACATCAGCTCTGATGAAGTGTCATCTAGACTCGAAATGTTAGCTTGCTTTCTCTCCATGGATATTGCCTGACCCGCTGTGATCTCCAGCATTTTTGTTTTCAGTTCCGATTCCAGCATCTGCAGTAATATGTTCCTACTAGGTACGGGGACTGAGATGTGTGTGTTCACTGGATAGACTAAGGGAGACTTCTGCTTCTTTTTGAATTCATTTCTGCACTCATTGCGTGGATGCTTCAGTAATACAGTGCTACAAGTGTAATAAAACTCACCAGTTAGTTCTGCCGTATTGTAATGTCCTGAGATTTCAGCAATTCGACACTCAGGAGTTTGACTGATATGTGTTGTCTCCTGTGGCAATGGACACAGACGTAGGTGAGACCTCTGCTCTCAGGGTCTTGATTCCAAGGGAAGATGCACCCATGTCCTTACCAGCTCTGTTGAAGAGTCACCAGACTCAAAACATTAAAAGAAACTTTCTTCCCACAGATGCTGCCAGACTTGCTGAGTTTCTCCAGCAGTTTTGGGTTTTGTTACAGTGTTTTTCCAGCCAGCAGGTTAGACCCTCAATGCCTGAATAAGATTTGCCCAACATTTCAGGTTGATGAACTGCTTTGATGAATGACTATTAGCATCTAATTTTCTCTGCACAGATGCTGCCGGATCTGATTCGTGTTTGCAACATTTTCCATTTCAGTTTCAGATTTCCAGCATCTGCAGTATTATTTTCATTGTGAAAAGTTGCTAATTTCTCCGTATTGTAGCATTGAAATTAGCTCAACAAATATTCTCCCATGTATTTCCTTTCTTTTCAGACCATTAGACTTTGCTCAACCAGTGTATTTTGAGCATGCAGAAATTGGAAGGTGCCCAACATTAAAACATCCAAAACCACTTCTTGAAGATGTTGAAGAGATTGATACAGCTGAAATCACAGTCAAACCTATTTCAGAAATAAAAATAATTCCTACTCCTGCTCCTGTAAGTATTTTTCTCCCAAATTATCATAAATTATATGAAATTTGTTCCCACTTCTGAATCAAGGAGAATTGATTGACATATGTATAAAAAGTAGGATATCTCTTAATAGCAGCAAAAGTTGCAAATCCAGATGAATTCTGACAACCAAAAGATATGAAAATCATTTACAACCTGCATACAAATGTCAGAAGTGGCACTGATGAATTGAAAGCTTCTGAATGACCTGCTGAACAACAAGCTTAGTCCCGATAATGGCTGTATTCTGTCGCCTCTTGTCATTCAATATTTGACCAGATATGGTTATCCCAATGAAGTGCTCAGAAAATCTTCTATTCCTCCATTTTCTAACAATCCTCATTCTAAAGCAAATTCTCTTCAATCGTTTTACATGATGATTGAATGTGTGCTTTTTCCTCGAAATAAAAAAAGTTAACTTGGACCTGCAGCAAAAATCTGCAAAGATCATTTTGAGCGTACAGTTTGACATTCAGAATGAAAGGAAGTAGGCTTTTAGTTTCTTGCACTACATCAAGTAGATTGGAGTAAAATGAAACTTCTACACATTTGGTCAGAGGACATTCGATCCATCAGACCTATATCAGTGCTTTGAAAGTGTTATCCAACTTGTCCTGCTCCCTTTCTCTTCTGAAGGTTCCTAATGAAGCTGCTTCGACTATTTTTAAAACTGCACGTTTTAGATCATAATAACTCAATATACAAAAAACTCACTTATCCTTTGACTTTTTTTTGTGAATTATCTTAAATCTATGTCCTCCAGCTACCAATATTTCTGTCTCTGAAGCTGTGGGGAGAATCCTCCTAGTTCTGCGGAGGCAGGTTTGATAGGAGTACAGAGAAATCCTGCAGCTCAGGGTGTAGTCTCACTCCTGGGCAATCTGGACAAGAAATTAATTTCCACCTACCAATGAGGGTAGACAATAGAATTAGAATTAGGTTTATTGTCACGTGTACTCAAGTACAGAAGTACAGGAGCACAGTGAAAAGTATACAATGTCGCACCTCACATGCCATCCTAGGTACCTAGGTACAAATCGTAGATACAAAGTAGAGAAATAAAGAAATAAAAGTTACATTACCGCAAAGTTAGAAAATAAGAAATAAAGTTAAAAGGATAAACATTACAGTCAGATAAACAGATTACAGATAAACATTAGAGATAACAAGGTGTAGAGCTGGATGAACACAGCAGGCCAAGCAGCATCATAGGAGCAGGAAGGCTGACGTTTCGGGCCTAAACCCTTCAGAAATGGGGGAGGGGAAGGGGGATCTGAAATAAATAGGGAGAGAGGGGGAGGCGGATAGAAGATGGATAGAGGAGAAGATAGGTGGAGAGGAAACACACAGGTCAAAGAGGTGGGGATGGAACCAGTAAAGGTGAGTGTAGGTGGGGAGTTAGGGAGGGGATAGGTCAGTCCAGGGAGGACGGACAGGTCAAGGGGGCTGGATGAGGTTAGTAGGTAGGAGATGGGGGTGTGGCTTGAGGTGGGAGGAGGGGATAGGTGGGAGGAAGAACAGGTTAGGGAGGCGGGGACGAGCTGGGCTGGTTTTGGGATGCGGGAGGGGAGATTTTGAAGCTTGTGAAATCCACATTGATACCATTGGGCTGCAGGGTTCCCAAGCGGAATACGAGTTGCTGTTCCTGCAACCTTCGGATGGCATCATTGTGGCACTGCAGGAGGCCCAGGATGGACATGTCGTCTGCGGAATGGGAGGGGGAGTTGAAATGGTTCGCGACTGGGAGGTGCAGTTGTTTATTGCGAACCGAGCGTAGGTGTTCTGCAAAGCGGTCCCCGAGCCTCCGGGTACAGCGGATGCAGTATACCACATTGGCAGATGTGCAGGTGAACATCTGCTTGATGTGGAAAGTCTTCTTGGGGCCTGGGATGGGGGTGAGGGAGGAGGTGTGGGGGCAGGTGTAGCACTTCCTGCGGTGGCAGGGAAAAGTGCCGGGTGTGTGGGGCTGGAGGGGAGTGTGGAGCGGACAAGGGAGTCACGGAGAGAGTGGTCAGACACTTCCGCCATCTGGAATCCGACCCCACCACCAAAGACATTTTTCCCTCCCCACCCTTATCTGCTTTCTGGAGGACCACTCTCTACGTGACTCCCTTGTCCGCTCCACACTCCCCTCCAGCCCCACACACCC